TGTGATTTCCAGTGCTATGTTGAATAAGGGAGGTGAAAGCGGATTATCCTGTCTTGTTCCTGATCTTAAGGGGAATGCTTGTAGTTTTTGCCTGGTGAGTATGATGCTGTTAGTGGGTTTGCCACATAGGCCCTTTATTATGTTTAGATATATTTCCTCTATTCCCACTTTGCTGAGAGTTTTGATCATAAATGGGTACCAGATTTTATCATAAGCTTTTTCTGCAGCTATTGATATGGTCATGTGGTTTTTATCCCGCATTTTGTTTATGTGGTGAATCACATTTATTGATTTGCGAATGTTGTATAAACGTTGCATTCCCAGAATAAATCCCACTTGATCATGGTATATCATCTTTTTGATGCATTGCTGTATTTGGTTTGCTCATATTTTCTTGAGGATTTTAGCATCTATGTTCATCAGGGATATTGGCCTATAATTTCCTTCCTTCCTTCCTTCCTTCCTTTCTTCCTTCCTTCCTTTCCTTTCTTTCTTCCCCCCTCCCCCTCCCTTACCCACTCCCTCTCTGCTTCCCTCCCTTCCTTTCTTCTTTCCTTCTTTTTTTGGTAATATCTTATCTGGTTTTGGAATCAGGATAATACTGGCCTTGTAAAATGAGTTTGGGAGGCTTCCCTCCTATTGAATTTTATAAAATAGTTTAAGGAGAGGTGTTAGTTCTCAGAATGGTTGGCAGAATTCACCTGTGAAGCCATCTGGTCCAGGGATTTTGTGTGTTGAGAGTTTTTTGATTACTGCTTCAATTTCACTAAGTGTAACCTCTCTATTTGGATTTAGTTTTGGAAGATTGTATGTTTCTAGGAATTTATCCATTTCATCCAGGTTGTCCAGTTTGTTGGCATGTAGTTGTTCATAATATTTTCTTATAATCTTTTGTACTTCTTTGCTGTCAGTTGTTATTTCTCCTCTTTCATTTCAGATTTTCTTTATTTATGTCCTTTCTCTTTTTTTCTTGATGAGTCTGGTTAAAGGTTTGTCAATCTTGTTTATCTTTTAAAGAACCAGCTCTTGGATTCATTGATCTTTTGCATCTTTTTTAGATTCTATTCCTTTTATTTCTGCTCTAATCTATTTTATTTCCTTCCTTCTACTCAGTTTGGGCTTTGTTTTTTGTTCTTTTTCAAGTTCCTTTAAATGTAAAGTTAGATTGTTTCTTTGAACTTTCTCTTGTTTTTTGAGAGCGTAGACACTTTCAGACTTGGCCTGAGCACCCTAGGACTTAAGACTATCATATAGGACATCTCCCACTTTGTCTGATGCAGAGGAAGTCTTAAGGGGATCTGTAGTCAGGTACCTGCCATTTTCTTGTAAGCATCACAAATAATTTTAACTCCACAGGATACTTAAATTAGAAGTGGCTTCCTAGAGCTCTTGAGCTGAGAAAAATTGTGGGGTCCATTCAGCTTCATTGAGAAAGAAAGCCTTAATCTTAAAGACTGCCATTTTCAGAGGAAGGAAAATTTATGGCTGATATTTGTCCACCGGGAATGTTCAATCATAGTGATGTTAATCTAGCAGATTAAGGCTATATCATATTTGCTATAACTTTATTATTAAATTTATTGGAGAGGCACTGGTTCATAAGGTCACATAGGTTACAGGTGTACATTTCTGTGATACGTGGTTTGTACGTTGCATTGTGTGCCTACCACCCAAAATCAAATCATCTTCTGTCTTCATACATTTGACGCCCTTTACCCTTTACTACCTCCTCACCCCATTCCCTTCGGTAACCACCATGCTGTTGTCTGTCTGTGTCTATGTTTCAGTTTTATATCCCACATAGGAGTGAAATCATATGGTCAACTTTTTCTGACTGACTTGTTTCACTTAGCATAATATTCTCAGGATCCATCCATGTTGTCTCAAATGGCTATGTTTTCTTTTCTTATGACTGAGTAATATTCCAGTGTATGTATATACCACATCTTCTCTATCCAATCCTCTATGGAAAGATAGTTTGGTTGTCTCCATGTCTTGGCCACTGTGAGTAATGCTGCAATGAATATAGAGGTGTATATATCTTTGGGTATAAATGTTTCTGAGTTTTTTTGGTAGACACCCAGAAGAGATATCGCTGGGTCATGTAGTAACTCTATTTGTAATTTTTTGAGGAACCGCCACATTGTTTTCCATAGAGGCTGTACCAGTTTATATTCCCACTAGCAGTGAATGAGGGTTCCTTTTTCTTCACAGCCTCCCCAACACTTGTTATTGCCTGTCTTGTTGATAATAGCTATTCAAATAGGTGTGAGGTGTTATCTCATTGTTTTGATTTGAATTTCCCTAATAACTAGTGAAGTTGAACATCTTTTCGTCTATCTGTTGGCCATTTGTACATCTTCTTGGGAGAGGTGTCTGTTGAGGTCCTCTGCCCATTTTTAATTGGACTGTTTGTTTGTATGAGTTCTTTATATGTTTTGGATATTAATCCTTGTCAGAGCTGTTGTTTGCAAATATTTTCTTCTACTTGGTTGGTTGCCTTTTTATTTTGTTGTTGGTTTCTTTTGCTGTGCAGAAGCTTTTTAGTTTGATATAGCCCCATTCATTTATTTTTATCTTTATTTTCCTTGCTTTTGGGATCAAATTCATAAAATGTTCTCTACGACCAAAATCCATAAGTTTAGTACTTATGTTTTCTTCTATGTACTTTATTGTTCCAGATTTTATATTTAGGTTTTTGATCCATTTTTAATTGATTTTTGTACATGGGGACAAACGGTAATCTAGTTTCATTCTTTCACAAGTGGCTTTACAATTCTCCCAGTGCCATTTATTGAAGAGGTTCTCTTTTCTTCGTTGGGTGTTTTTGTCTCCTTTCTCAAAAATTATTTACCTATATGTCTGTGGTTTTATTTCTGGGCTCTCAGTTCTATTTCATTGGTCTGTGTGTCTTTTTTCTGCCAATGATTATTGTAGCTCTGTAGTATGATTTGAAGTCAGAAAATGTGATACCTTTGGCTTCATTCTTTTTTCTCAGGATTGCTTTGGCTATTTGTAATCTTTTGTGGTTCCATACAAATCTGATTTTTTTTTTTTGCTCTATTTCTTTAAAAAATTACATTGGGATTTTGATGGGGATTGCATTAAACCTGTGTATTGCTTTGGGTATTATGGCCATTTTAACTATGTCAATTCTTCCAATCCATGAACATGGAATATCTTTCCATTTCATTGTATCTTTTTCAACCTCTTTTAATGATGCTTTGTAGTTTTCAGCATTTAGGTACTTTATATCCCTTGTCAAGTTTATTCTTAGGTATATTATTCTTTAAGTTCTAATTGCAAAAGTAATTATTTTTTCATTTTTTTCTGAAGTTTCATTGTTAGTATTCAGGAAGGCAGTGGATTTTTATACATTGATCTGGTGTCCCACAACTTTACTGTATTTGTTTATTGTTTTTAATAGTTTTTTGTGGAGTCTTAAGGATTTCCTATGCGCAGAATCATGTCATCTTCAAAAAGTCACACTTCTACTTCTTTCTTCCCAATTTGGATGCTCTTATTTCTTTTTTGTGCCTGAATCCCCTAACTAGGACTTCCAGAACTACATTAAGTAAGAGTGGTGAGCGTGGGCATCCTTGTCTTGTTCCTGATTTTAGAAGAAAAGCATTCAGTTTTTCATCATTGAGTATGATATTGGTCTTTATTATGTTGAGCTACTTACCTTCTTTACCCATTTTATTGAGTGTTTTAATCGTAAATAGATGTTATATCTTATCAAATGTTTTTCTACATCTATTGATGAGATCGTATAATCTTTGTCCTTTGTTTTGTTAATGTGGTATATTACATTGAGTGATTTGCATATGTCGAACCATCCTTGTGCCCTTGGAACAAATCCCACTTGATTGTGGTGTATTTTTTAAATGTATTCTTGTATTCAATTTGCTAGTATTTTGTTTAGGATTTTTGTATCTATTTTCATCAGAGATACTGTTCTGTAGTTTTCTTTTCTAGTGTTAATCCTTGCCAGGTTTTGTTATTAGGGTTATGTTGGTCTTATAAAATGTGTTAGGAAGTATTGCCTTTTCAATATTTTTTGGAAGAGTTTGAGAAGGATGGGTACCAAATCTTTGTTCAGTGTCTGGTAGAATTCACTAATGAAGCCATCTGGTCCTGGAATTTTATTTTTTGGGAGATTTTTGATGGCTGTTTGCTATAATTTTTGAAAAGCAAAAAGTGGAAACATTTTCCTAAGACGCTTTCCTAATGTCAGTTTTGTGCCTTCTACACTGTGGTGTCAAAAGTATTTATTCCTTTGATCTCATTGATCTTTTCCATCTCTGTCATGGAAGAGATTGTTGTTGGTATGCATGGGTTCGTATTTTTTTTATTGTAACAGAATGAGCGCTACTGTCATGCTGTCAGTTTCCTACCCTTGCTTTAGTAACAACGACATTTGGCCTTCACAAGCCTGGTTGTTGTGACCTGTAGTCCTGTTTATGTGCCAACCCTTGTTCTTGGCCTCCGCACAAGGATTCCCACAAGGGGTCTATTTGAGATGGTGGTTTCCAGATTGGGGTATCTGTCTGCCAGCACTGAGTTTGAGACCACTACCTTGTTTTTCCCAACATTAATATCTCAGTGATCTCCAAACATATTTCCTGTTCCAGAATATTTTCCAAATTTTGCAAGAATATCTCCAAAGCTTTTTTCTTTTAAATGCATAAGGGCCTTAGGAGACGGGCAAGGGTAATATAAATTTTAACTTAGCAGACTAGAGTTTAAAACTTTAACCAAAAAATATTTTCCCTTTTAAAAAACTCTCTTTACATATTTAAGTAATTTATTTGGAAGAAATTACCACTTCACCAGCCCTTGGCAGTTTCAGTTCAAGAAGCTTTGAAACCAGTCAGCTACAAAGCCTCAAATGTTTTCTCTTTGAAAGCTCAATTTAACTTTCTCCACCATGGTGGTGAGAAAAGTGACAACTTATTTTAAAGATTCTCTTCCTTTGTTTCCTTGTCTTTCTTTTGCAGGCCATGTGTTTATACTATGGGATCTCCCATAAACAACAGGGCCCTTTTTCCATGCCAGGAGCCACCCGTTGCCATGTCAACATGGCAGGCCACAGTCCGAGCAGCTGCGTCTTTTGTTGTTTTAATGAGTGGAGAAAATTCTGCCAAGCCAACACAGCTTCAGGAAGGTACTGTACATGTGTTCTGTGCTTCTTATGTATGGCACACATGCTGGACCCAGGAACCCAATATGCAGTGTTTTTTGCAACTTTAAAGAGCTCCTTTATTAGTTGGGTTAGAATGAACATACTGAAAACATCCTGCCATAGAAAACGGTGGGGAGGATGAAGGGCATTTGGGAGCCTGGGCATGGCATGTGGGGCTCTTCATGCCAGACTTAATAATTCCTAGATTATTTCAGCAGTTGCTTTGACCTGGTGGTTTGTGGGCCTTTTGTGGGTGGTCTTGGTTAAGACTTTCTGGGCAGGCAAATGTGTCATGGAAACACCGTTACAGTTGAGTTGTCTGTGGTTTGGTCATGGAGCCTGTACAAGGTTATTTATCACACTGAGTGATAGTGCTCCTGTTTGCCAGCCCACTAGAGCTCTTGGTAAAGCATCTGTTCCAAACACTGTTTGCCCAAGGGATTCTGAACCAAAGGTATATAAGAAAGATAGAAGGCAAGTCCTAATGTGTTGTCAGGGTTTTGTGTAGGACTTACTTGCTTATTGCTATAATTAACTCTTGCGGTTGAGAGCCTAAGCATGTCAATGCCAAGTAAAATGTTTGTAATTGTAATATGTCTTCATTTAAAATATGGTGTCTCCTCTCACATACTTCCTAAAACTTTAAATTTTACAGAAAATTAAAAGTAAAAAAATGAAATAATTTTAGAGAAAATGGTTGCTAACATTTTGTTGCATTTCCCACCAGTATTTCAAATCTGTATGTATTATTATTCCATAATTGCAGTCATAGTGTATAACTTTTTTGCTGTTGTTGTTTTTTCACTTATGGTATATCTAGAATGTTTTCCAGGGCATTAAGTATTTTTGAAAACTATGATTTTAATGTGTGCATAATATTTTATTGTATGAATATATCATATTTTAACATTTTTGTATTAGACAATTTTATTGTTTCCAACTTTTTCCCTACTATAAATAAAGTTGCATTAAATTCCTGAGGAAACATTTAGTATAAAACTAGAGTTATTGAGTCAAAATTTTCAGTATGTGTAAGGCTGTTGGTATATATCCTAAGTTGTTTCCCAGAAAGGTTGTACCAATTTAACATTGTACCAATAATGCATTTTTTTACACCCATCAGTAGTTATGAGGGTCCTTGTTTCCAGGAACTTCACCCATTTGATAAGAAATCTTGAGGTCTATCCAAGGTCTATCTTGAACTTGGATTATTTCAATTATCAATGAGATTTTATATGTCCTTATATATTTTTAACCATTTTCAATTCTTACCTGTTGATTTCCTTTGCCCATTTTTATACTGAGGCTTTAGTAAGGTTTTCTAAAGTTTGTTTAGTCTTTTAATTTGAATGACCCTTTAAAAAAAATAAAGATATTAATCTCATTGTATTTGTACAAAGTATTTTCCCCAGTTTTCAGTATGTGATTTCATTTAATATAATGTTTCTTATCTATTGGAGATTTTCATTTTTATTTAGTCAAACCTGTCAAATTATTCTTTGAAAGTCTTTCCTTATTTGATCTGAGATTCATCTGTTTTGTTTTAATAGTTTTATTTAATTAAAAATTTTTCATTGAATCTTTAATCTGTTTGTAGTTTATTCTGGTCAGAATTGTGAAATGAGGACTACATTTTTTTTTTCAAATAGGAAACCAATTACTCCAAGATCATTCACTGAGTCTTTTCTAATTTGTGGTATCTCCTTTATCATAAACTAGATTTACACACATACTAGAGTCTTCAAGGAGTATTTAGTTGATTCGCAAAGTAAAAACAAAACAAATAATAGATCTTTAAAATTTAGTTTTAAAAGTAGGTCACATTTATGTGGTTCATTTACAAATGAACAAAAGGACAAAAATTTTCAATAAAGTCTTCTTTTTACTCCTAATTCCCAGTTACCTAGTAACCCTTCTCCCAGCATAACCAAAGTCTCTGATTTCCTTGTATTGTACCTCACCCTTTAGAATAAATTTGTCTTACATATAATTTAACATCTAAATATAAAGAGCTTTCTCATTATTTTTATGACTACAGAATATCCCATAAATAGATCTTTTACAATTTAGTGAACCCATAGCTCTTTACTCTGTGTCAGATAAGGGTTTTAATGGACATTTAGTTCTATCCTCCTCCCTCACCCACAGTTCCTAGTTTTAATTAATACAGTCTGGGGTTCAGGACTCATATTATCTCTATATTTTGTTTTTTATTATATCTTCTCTTATAGGAATTACAATTATTGTGTAACATCTTCATCTAGTTTCAAATCATATTTGCAATAAATATTTAGACTATTCTTGAGCTTTTAAGTATGAATCATCTCTCAGTCACCTGGGAAATGGTTTCAATACTTTTTTTTCTAGAGGGGTGGATGGATGTGTGGTATATTTTATGAACCTTCCCATATTTATGTTGGCTTTTTGTTGTATTCACTTATGAACAATCTTTGGCTAGGTATAAAACTCTTAGGACTTCTTTTCTCTCTTAAACAACTATAAACATTTTCATCATCATTCCTTCCTTAGCATTTCTAGGGAGAAATCTGAAATGAACTTTTAAAAAATTCTTTGAAAGTCTGATTTTCCTGCCTAGAGGTTCATAGAATTTTTTTTAATTTACGTAATTCACAACTTTTCTAGAAAGAAGCTAGTTGTTGGTAAGACTGCTTTTATTCAATTTTATTAAAGTATAATTTACATGTAATAAAATGCATACAGTTTAAATCTTGTTCAATGAAGTTTGACAAATACACATATTTAATTAATCAGCACCCCTGTGGATGTGTAGAACATTTCCTTTACCCTAGGACTCCCCTTGTGCCTTTGACATCTCTCCTTAAGTCATTCCTTTCTAACCTGACTCCTGTCAACTACTGGTCCAATTTCCATATTTATAGATTAGTTTTGCCGCTGCTAAAGATTCATATAAATGGAGTCATTCCATGTGTGCTCTTTTGTGTCTGGCTCTTTTTGCTCAGCATAATGTTTGTGAGATACATGCATATTGTTGTGGGTGTCAGTAGTTTATTTTTTTTTAATTGGTAAATAGTAGCCCATTATATGCATAAACCACAGTTCATTTATCCTCTTACCTGTTGACAGACATTGGAATTGTTTTTAGTCATTATGATAAATAATGCTGTGAACATTCCTGTACAAGCCTTTTTTAGGATATATAGGTTTTCATTTCTCGGGTAAATACCTAAGAGTAGAATTGTTGGATCATATAAGTTTATGTTTAACCTTGTAAGTACCTCCCAAGCTGTTTCCAAAATGATTATATCATTCCATTGGCAATATATGAGAGTCCTATTGCTATGCATCCTTGCAAACACCAGTGTTATCAGTCCTTTTAATTTTAGCTGCCCAACAGGGTATAAAACACTATCTTGTTGTGGTTTTAATTTGCATTTCTCTGATGACTAATGATGGTGAGCAACTTTTCATATTGTTCATTCTTATATCTTCCTTTGAAAAGCATCTCTTCAAATTGTTTGCCCATTTATTTAATGTGGGGTTTTGGTTTTTTTATTATTAGGTTGTAAGTCTGCTTTGTATATTCTAGGTATAAGCCTTTTATCAGATAATATGTATTACAAATATATTCTCCCAGCCTTGCCCTTTCATTTTTTATTTATACTCTATACCTTTGATTTTCAAGAAAGATTTTGTTCTTTACTGATTGCAGTATAGATTTAAATTGTTATTTAAGTTTCCTTAAAATCTTTCTTATATTTTTGATCTGTTTGTTATCTTTTGAACTTGCTGTTACAGTGTTTCTGTCTGTTGTCTTCTCATACTTTTTACTATTTTTTCATAGATGTTATATGTTCTTGTATCAAAATGGGAAGGCTAGTTTCTTAAACTGGTTTTGGTTTCTATAGTAAATTAATTTCTGAGGCTGTTCTTCCTCTAAGTCCTTAGAATGATGTTTTATTTTACCTTTATTTTTTCCCCACAGCGCTCATGGCTTTCCTCGCTGGTGTGTACCAACAGAGAGGATAAAGTCTATGAATTCTATGAATTTCTCTTCGCTCCATTCACTGTCTACCTGTGTCCTGCCTGGAACCCACTCTCTGTTCAACAGTTGAGAGGTTACTGATGCACACATCTTCTTTATCCAGGCTTTGGTGTCTTGCTGGCAATTTTCTAATGAAGTTCTGCTGGATTCACACAGGCTCTTTCCCTACCCTTTCTCCTTGGTTCCCTGACATGCTGACATTGATTAAGTACATGAAATGCTGCAATGTCAAGCAGACCCTGATACCTGGACACCTCCAGCCTCCATCACTGCCTGTAGAGGTTTACTTGCACCTTTCACAATGCCATGTGGCTCTCCCTACCCCCACCTCACCATGCCTGCAGACTTTCTAATTCATGGTTTGACCTTGCAGTTCAGATGTAAAGGCTTTGCATTTAGCTGTGTTTCTCAAACCTGAGCATTATTTGTCTTTTTTAGAAGGGAAAAAGATATATCTCATGGTTCACCATGGTTGACTGAAATTATTTGTATTAGAATGATATTTTAAAAACCATAAATGTTAAGAGTAGATATAAACTCTGTACGGTTATAACTCTTATACACCTATAAAACCAAAATAAAATTATAAATTAAGCACAGACCAAACTATTAAATCAGTAAAATTCAAATGAAAAACTTAATCTAAAGATAAATATTTGGTTGAAATGTAATTTCCCCTCACAATATGAATGTGCTGCTCCCAGCTCCATGAAGGTTCTTTGGGGAGTGTTGTGATGATCTTGTTCTTCACCACTTTTCTTCCATGTGCTGGAAAGCTTTGACTTACATGGCATGCTGTGATGTCATTTAGCCTGTGCTCAAAAAGAGTATCATCCTTATGTTCTTTTTTCATTGTCTCTCAATAATTAAAGCAGTGCTGCATGTCTCTGTGTTGTCGTATGTACTAATGCACATGCGAACTCAGATTGTTTGGCAGTACTTGTTTACATCTAGATAA